CTGAACTTGCATGTTAAATTTTTTTTTTAAGATTCCTTGGCATTTTACAAGATCATGTTATCTGAAAATAAACAGATTTGCTTCTTCCTTTGCAATCTGTATACTTTTAAATTTTTTTCTTGCCTGATTGCACTGGCTAGAACCTCTAACAGTATTCAGTAGAAGCAATGAGAATGGACATCCTTTCCTTCCTGATCTTAAGGGGAAAGCATGTTAGTTGTAGGGTTTTTGTAGATGCCCTTTATCATAGCTTAAGGAAGTTTTCTGTTTTCAGTTTGAGAGTTTTAACATCTTGAATGTGTAGTAGATTTTGTCAAATGCTCTTTTTGTGTCTATTGAGATGATCATATGGCTTTGTCCTTTATTACATTAATTCAGAGTTTCTCTACCTAGGTACTGTTGACATTTTGGGCCAGGCAATTCCTTGTTGTGGGTGATGTTTTGTGTATTGTAAAATGTTTTAGCAGCATCCCTTGCTTCTATACACTAGATGCTAGGAGAACACTTTCCCTATTCCCCAGTTGTGACAACCGAAAATGTCTCCAGGCATTGCCAAATGTCCCTTTGGGGTGCAAAATCACCCTCAGTTGGGAACCACTACATTAATTTACTTTCAGATGTTAAAACAGCTTTGAATTCATGGAATAAGTTCTATGTGTTCATGGTGTATAATCTGTTCTTTATACATTGCTGGTTTGTATTGCTTATATTTTGTTAAGAATTTTTGCATCTATATCCATGAAGGTTATTGACCTATAGTTTTCTTTTCTTGTGGTGTCTTTGTCTAGGTATGGTATCAGGGTTATACCAGGCTCCTAAAATAAGCTAGGAGAGTGTTTCTTCCTCCTCCTCTGTTTTCTGAAAAGATTGGCATTGTTTCTCCCTTAACTGTTGGGTACTTTTCACCAGTACCCTGGGAAGATTTTTAATTACTAATTCAATTTTTATTGACATAGTTCTCCTCTGATTTTGTTTCTTCATGAGTGGTTGGGTAAAGTACATCTTTTCTGAAATTTTTCCATTTCATCTAAATGATCTAAATTGGTGGCACAAATTGTTTATAATACTCTCTTCTAATTCTTTTAATTTCTGTACATCTGTAGTGATGTCACCTTTCTTATTCCTAATATTGGTCATTTGCATCTTCTCTTTTTTCTTGGTCAGTCTAGCCAAAGTTTATCCAATTTTTCTTTCATTGATTTTTCTCTATATTTGTTTTCTATTTCATTGATTTCTTTTTTTTTTTTTTTCCTGCTTTATCTCCCCAGATCCCCCCCAGTACATAGTTGTATATCTTAATTGCAGGTCCTTCTAGTTGTGGCGTGTGGGATGCTGCCTCAATGTGGCCTGACAAGCGGTGCCATGTCCATGCCCAGGATCCAAACTGGCGAAACCCTGGGGCCCCTGAAGCGGAGCATGTGAACTTAACCACTCGGCCATGGGGCCACCCCTGATTTCTTGATCTTTATTATTTTATTCTACTTTGTATTTGGTTTGCTCTTTTCTAGCTTCTTGAGGTTGAAGCTTAAGTTATTTTAGCGATTTCTACTTTTCTAATGAGATTTAACGCTATACTGTAATCATTGCTTTAGCTGTATTTTATATATTTTGATATGTTTTCATTGTCGTGTAAAGATTTTTTCTAATTCATGATTTCTTCTTTGACCCATGAGTCTTTGGAAGTGTGTTGTTTGATTTCCAAATATTTGAGAATTCCCCGGCATTCTTTCTTTTGTTGAATTTAGTTCTATCGTTGTTGAAGAATTCTAATTCAAGCATTGCAATATCATCATGTCAAAGACTTGAGTTCAAAAACCACCCATCCACACTCACCACCTGTTGGCCTTTCTTCTCCCCACTGATGGCTAGTACCTCAAGCTAGGAAACTAGAAGTTCTCCTCAGCTTCTTTTTCTCTATTTCTCTCTAGTTCCAGTAGCTCACCAAAAAATAGTGATTTGGGCCTTGAACATAACGTCTCCTTTCTATCTATAGTCCTGCTATAAATTTGGACCTCAACACTCACTTAGTCTATTATACCAGCCTCTTAATTTGTATTTCTGTTACCAAGGGCATTCAGGATTTATAAGGACCTTTTGGCACTCATTGTCTATATTCGCCATATGGTCTCTGTCATATTGTGCTTTGACTATAGTTCTCGCTTTTGTGTCTTATCTCTCCAGTTGGAGCAGGACTGAATTATAACTTGTGTCCAACATAGGCTAGCAAAATTTTTTGTATATTATTAAATACTGAGGAATATGTTTGATTCACAATATATATTCTTTTCTCATTCTCAGGCCATACAGTTGCCTAATTTAGAGTCTGAGGAAATTTCAGGGTATGAACTGTATTTAGTGGTTATAAATATATATTGATTTTTTTTTGTAATAGATTGTAGCAGTCTGGGTCCAATCAATCACAGTAGGTTAAATAAGGGGAATTTTACTATGACAGAAGAGTGACTAAGATAGAAGGAACCTCTGTATGATACCGTAGGGCTGATGGAGAGTACCCAAGGAAGGACAAACTTGGAAAGGATTCAGATCTCTTTGGAGAGGGTGTGGTTCAACCCACCAGCAGCAGAGAAGTTTGATGGTTTGGCGAGGCTAGAGCTGGTTTGGAGCTGCCAGACAAGCAATAGACTACCCTCTGGAGTGTAGGTGTGTTCGGGGTGGGTTGCTGGTGACCTGTAGCATGGTGTGCAGTGGGAGTCTGGGTAACAGCAGGGGACAGGAGGCTTTCTTTTTTTTTTTTCCCCTCCCCAAAGCCCCCCAGTACGTAGTTGTATATTCTTCGTTGTGGGTTCTTCTAGTTGTCGCACGTGGGACGCCGCCTCAGCATGGTTTGATGAGCAGTGCCATGTCCACACCCAGGATTCGAATCAACGAAACACTGGGCCACAGGAGGCTTTCTGAGTGTGTATGGGGCTTCTAGTTACTATGTCAAGAGGTCTGCAGAAAGGTCATTACTAGATCAAGGCTACAAAGTCACGGAAGGACTGTGTTCCGGGCCCATGGCTGAGGTTAGCCCCCCCATATGTCCTCACACCCATACCACCAACCCCAGCCTACACCTGAAATGATTGGGGAGCCTCTTCTGCAGTGTTCCTCCAGCACCCTCTGCTGAGAAAACTTAATATCATACTACTTTAAAGGAGAAATACTTAAAGGAATTCTCTTATCACAGAACATATATTGAAGGGTGCATTTGGAGCTAAGAGGCAATAAAATGATAACTGACACAAATATAGCTGAATGGTCATTGTAAGCTTTCCCTGCCAGCATTTTTCTTCTCTACCTCCAGTTTGCTGGACAGCCTGTCGTTTGTATTCTCAATCTCTTGGTTGAATGATTTCTTATTTGCTCTATTGCTCCACCTACTGTAGCCTTTTGTGCCCCTGTCCTTGGGATTCCGTTTTGTTTCTAATCCAGCTTATTCTCTGAGAACACTCTGTCTTCTAGTCCCCTCACTTAGAATTAGATTGCCTTTCTGACATTCTTTTCTTTTCCATTTCCTTAGGACGCACTCCCCTTTCTAAAAATTATCTTTTGATCTCTCTGTCTTTTGATCTCTCTATGATTTTGGCAGCACCACTTGGTTCCAGCTCACTTCTTCAATCTCTCTGGAGATTGGATATTAGAGGAATAATCTCTAATCTGCTATGGAAATTTTTCTCACTTTAAAAATTTTCAGTATTTTCATATACTCCCTTCCCTGTTCACATTTTAGCATAGGACCCACCTTGTTATTTTACCCAGTCAAAGGTAAACCTTAGCCCTTGTGTTCAAAATCAAGATGGTTTTAGGGGAAAGGGAAGTGAATTTTGTCTCACACATATGCTATGATGTTGAATTCAAAGCAGTTTTCACTAGTCTGATAAAAGTCAGCCTGATACATCTTTAAGTGCTATAAACTAGGAATATTTCTTTTTCCTTCCTCTTTCCCTCCCTTCCTTCCACTGTTTTTTTTGTTTTGTTATGTTTTGTTTTTACAACTCCTCCAAAGATTGGATGTCACCTATAGTTTGTTTTAATGTACCAGTAGAGGCCCATTTTAAAAGTAAAGAATTCCTTTCAGCTATATAGAATACTGTTAAATTTGAACTTCCTATCAGGACATGGAGGTAACTCTTTTAATACAGAATTTCTTGTAATGGGACTTATGTCTTTCATTTCTTTAGGATACTCACTTGATTCATCTTAAAGATGACCCTTTGCTCTTGGCACAAGTATTTAGAGCTTCGTTTCTGAAACTTAAAATTCAGTTTTCTGAAATTGCTAATATATTTTTCTTTTTCAGATGACCATATAAACTCTTATCTGGGAATTATTTATTTGATTAGGTTCTTTTAAGACAGAGATTTGTCAACTTTTGGATCCTTATTTATTGCAAGTTGTCTTTCCAGTTCAGAGTAATTGAAAATTTTACTGATGTTAGGCCTTCTAGAAATTATTTTAGGAATATAAATTGCTTAAACATATTGATTATGGTATCTGAAAATTTGTAGATGATGAACAGTTTTCAAAAATGGATGTTTATAATTAGAATTATGTGTGAGATAGAGATGATCACATATTCAAATGATGAAAAATCGTGGATTAAGGTAATGTTATGTCTAAGCAAACCAAGCATATGAAAATGTAGATTTACTGAACAAATTTATTCTTTAGTTAAAATCTCAGTTTGTTGATATTAATCATTTTAAGATAGAAAATATAACAAATGGAAAAATAATTTGTTCCTTTTAAGATGATTCTTTTTATTGAAAACTACATAATTAAAAAAATAAAAGCTATTCCTAAAATGTCTAACTACTGCCAGGTGTTATAAATGCATATATTAAGTGTATCTGAATAAACTCAGTACTTTTCTTTTTTTATAAACTTGGCTTTTTGTAGTACCAGTTTACTGAACTAACTTTTTTTTATTCAGCAGGAGCATTTATAAACATTTTTATTATATCAGTTGCTTGTTTTTTTGTTTTTGTTTTGTTTTTTAGGTAAAATCTGTAAAAACTGGGTCAGTTTTTTGGACAATGTGCTGCTGCTTATCGTATTTCTATATGGTAAGATTTCACATTTGAAACTACATGAAATCTGACAAGTCTTCGACAGACCCACTCCTCTTCATCGTTCTCTTCTCATCTAGGGCTAGTTCTCTGCTTCCTTTCTACTGAAATCTCTAGGATCTTAATTTTGTTTAGTGTATATAGTCTTTCATTACTGCCATCCTCTTACCCCCATCCCTGGGGTATGGACTTTATCTTTAGTGGGGAAGGCTAATTCTCAGTCCCTCAAATGCAATATTTGCAGCAAATGAAGCAATTTTTCTTTTCAAGTATACTTTGCCTAAATAGTAGTCATATCCTCTAGGTTAACCTCTAAACTACCTACATAATTTTTTCAACAGATTACTTAAGATTAGGGTTCAGTATTATCTCTTCATTCTTCTTTCTTTTCCACACCATAGCATATATAGTATCTTTAGAATATATTATCTTTAGAGTCTTTATTAGTTTACACCAGAACATACTCAATTATTCTGATTAAATTGGATTATTCTAACTTTGTCATACAGGCTAAACATTAAAATGGGATCTTGATTTGTAATCCATTAGGAAGAAGCAATTTATTCCTAAGGTAGCACCTTTTGTTTTGAGGATCTCAAAGTATATCCAGATCATTTGAATATTCCTTTTGTTTGGGTTGTTGACTGATGTTAACATTCACTGTTCTTATTCTCAGTAAAGTTTCTTGTAGTGTATTGATCATCAGAAATGGGGAAAGTAAAAGCTTTTTTCTTTTAAAAACTCATGACCTGTATCCCAAAATCCTTATCTCCGTGACAGTCTTTTTACTGCTAATTTAGTAGTGTTCTGATATTCTTATAATGTTCTCAACATTCTTATTAAGTTGAATTTAATTTGACCATTTCTCCGGTGAATGTAAAAAAGCGTACTGGATTTATGAGATTGTGTTATTTTAATTGTCAATCAGTATAAGGAGAAATAGGTTATTTGTAGGTTATATAAATCCACTTTTAAGCTCTTAAAATTGCTAAAAATCCTAGTGTTATTTGCTGATTATATATTTAGATTGTCATGACAAATAAAACTTAACTATTTTAAAGAGCAAACATGTAAATTATTTAACTTAGCATTTCTTCACCCATAGGTTTCTGCTTGGGGTGGTTATGTGTTTATTATCAACCTTATTCCACTGCACGTATTTGTGTTGTTACTGATGCAGAGATACAGCAAGAGAGTCTACATAGGTAAGTCATTTGACTTTTGAAATCTGTCTGCTTCTAAGGGGTGTTTCATATACATTCTTTTCATTGAACAGACATTTCTGTTTGGCCGGTGTTACCCATGCGAAGGTAAAAATAATTTTATATTTATTTTGCTTTTTGTATTAATAAGGAGAGTCAGGCATTTTTGCCTAAGTGCATTGTTGTCAACTTCTCCTTCATGAGTTTTTTTGTTTTTATAGAAATTCATCTAGATTTAATGTTTGTTGGCCATTTTTTAAAATTTTGGGTGAATGAGTGTTTCCATCATAAAAATCATTCATGTATACATATTATTCAAATTCAGCTTATTCACTGTAACAGATTGAGCATTCTCAAAGTAAACAGTTTATAATAAAAACTTTTGAAAGCCCTTTCTATACAACATACAACAGACTGTCTTAATCCGTTCAGGCTACTATAACAAAGTAACATAGACTAGGTAGCTTATAAACAACAGAAATTTATTTCTTACAGTTCTGGAGGCTGGATCCAGAGTCCAAGATCAAGGCACGAAAATAGTCATGTTCTTGTGAGGGCTCTTTTCTTGGTTCATAGCTGGTACCTTCTTGCTTTGTCCTCACGTGGTGGAAGAGATGAGTTAGCTCTCTGGGACTTCTTTTAAAAAGGTATCAATCCCTGGAGCCCTTGTGACTGTTCACTTCCCAAAGCCACCTCCTAATACCGTCACCTTGGACACTAGGTTTTCAACAGAAGAATTTTCGGGCAACACAAACATTCAGACTATAGCATAGACTGCGTCTTTTCTCTACAAAAATTTTTATTTTCTCTACAGGTTTTAAAACACATCTTTTGAATAAGATGCCTAGTGAAAGATGGTATGTCTCAAATCTTAGAGCTCATTTTCCTTGAGACAGAAGTTTTATGGGTTAAATTAATCAGAGAGAAGTTATGATCTGAAACCAAGGTCTTAGTAAAATAATAAAATTCTATTATAGTAATTTGTTGGAAAACAGTAACACAAAGGTAAAGCTTATTTACCTGATTAAAAAACATAGTAGGGGCCAGCCCAGTGGCACAGCAGTTAAATTTGCACACTCTGGTTTGGTGGCTCATGGTAGCTGGTTCAGATCCCAGGCACGGACCTATGCACCTCTTATCAAGACATGCTGTGGCAGGTGTCCCACATATAAAATAGAGGAAGATGGGCAGAGATGTTAGCTCAGGGCCAGCCTTCCTCAGCAAAACAGGAGGATTGCTGGTGGATGTTAGCTCAGAGTTACTCTTCCTCAAAAAAACAAAAAAGTTTGTCAGTTCCTCAAAAGCTTAGATCACAGAGTTACCATATGACCTAGCAATTCCACTCCTAAATGTACCCAAGAAAACTGAAAATATATATTCACACAAAAACTTGTAATGTTCATAGCAGCATTCGTTATTCATAATAGCCAAAAAGTGAAGACAATCCAAATGTCCATCAGCTGATGAATTGATAAGTAAAGTATGGTGTATCTGTAAAATGCAATCTTTTTTAGCCATAAAAAGAAATGAAGTACTGGTACATGCTACATCATGAGCCTTGAAAACATTATGCTAAGTTAAGCCAAACACAAAAGGCCATATATTGTAAGATTCTTTTTGTATGAAATGTCCAGAATAGGCAAATCCATAGAGACAGAAAGTAGATTTAGTTCTTGCTAGGAGCTTGGGAAATGGAGGAGTGACTGCTAATGGGTATGGAATTTCTTTTTGGGGTGAGGAAATGTTCTGGAATTACGTACTTGGATTAGTGGTGATAGTTATACAATTTTGTAAATATAATAAAAATCACTCAAAGGTACATTTTAAAAGGGTGACTTTTATAGAGTATAATTTATATCAATTTAAAACAAAAAACAGTAAATTCATAGTATGTTAATTACATTTATAGCCATTTCAGCATACATTATAACAATCACCATTGAAATAATTAATATATATCAAATTCTTATTATACACCACAAACTATCCTACATGTTCTCTACATGTATTTAGCTCATTTAGTCTTCATCACCACACTGTGAGGATATGTACTGTTACTATCCTTATTTTACAGATGAGGAAACAAGAGAAGACGTAATAATTTGTTCAAGATCATGTAGCTAGTAGTAGAGCTGAAGCCTGAACTTAGGATGTTTTTTGTCTCCACAGCCCCTGATGCTAAAAAGTCACTACAACTGTGTGCCTACCATATAAATAAATACTGTATTGTTGAAATACATCAACCTATGATATCTCCCTACCCTGAAAACACTATAAACAGTCATTGGGATCCAGAAAGGGAATGATAGATTAAACTATAATTTTCTGCTTTTTGTTTTGGAAATATATAAGGAAAAATCTTGTTAAGTTGTTATCAAGGAGGAACTAAAAGGTTGTTTAATTAAAAAGATTTGGGGTCCTGAAAATTTAATGACCAGAGAAATAGAGTGGGGAGAAGATTGAGGGATAGACTTGTGAAATGCCCATGAATCAGGACAAGAAAGAAGAGAGCCAAGCAGAAGTCAGAAGTACCCAGATAAATGTGTTATTAAATAGGTCAAAAGGAAGTATTTTCTACACAAAAGTTTAAAACATGAGCAGTGTCCAACTCCCCTTGAGTGTTAAGACTAAGATCTAGTAGGATGAGAATTGAGAAAAGAAAAAGATTGTGAATAGGATTTCTCTGGTCACTTTAGAGAAGCATGCAATTAATACTGCTTTGGCTGGCTCTTGAGAATGTTTCTTCTTTTTAGAGGAAAGAAAAATAAAATGGTTTAGGGATGTTATATATGTGTATGAAATTAGATTAGTAAATGTCTCAGATAATTTCATAGTGTTGAAATTCTCTAGCCTACGTTTGCTGTTTCTTTTCTCTTTTACTCCATTCATGTAACTAAGGGTATTTTGGGGTGATTTTTATGTTCTTTCATAGAGTTGACTGTTAAATGGATGGAAAGTGGTGTTATAAAACAGTTATTTCTCTTCTTCATCCCAAATGTATCAGTATTTAAGTTAGGTTTAACCTAACTTGATGGTCCTGAAAAATATAGAAGCATTATAAAGTGTTTGTATATACAGTTTGTCCTCTGATTTTAGCACATAACATCCTTTGTCTATAGTTCTCCCTTGTGAGCAGAAATACTTAAAGAAATAAGGATTGATAAATGGCAAACTCATAATCATATAAACCAAAAGTTTGGGTTCTAAGTATCAAATTAAATTAAGTAAAAATGAATCATTTGAAATAATTATGAAAAATTGTTTTCCCTTTGAGTAAATTTTTTGCACACGTCCTTAGAATCAGTTGATAAGCCAGCCAAAACTGTCAAAGTTTGTTCACATGTGGAAAAGGAGGCACATGGAAGGTAATGTGGATGTATAGGGTAGGAGTAGCATGGGAGGGGAGGGCAGAGTATAAGAAAAGCTGAGATGTAAGGAGGTAAGAAAAGCCCCTCGATGAAATTTGGGTGGGAAGAATTGTATAAAGTTAAATGATTTTGTGGAGATAAATTTTGGACTTGTTAAATTTCACTATATTGGGCAGTGAACTGCTTAAAATTGTTACAAATAGGATTTTGATATTTAACAAGAAGAAAGAACACCTAAATGTTATTTTGCATTTATAGAAAGACTGGTTTACAGGTATCACATATCACTGATGGGATATAAAATGATTTAACCTTTCTAATTTGATAAAAGTTTATCATACTTTATGTCATAAGGAAATTATTAAAGATGTGAAGACATGTTTAGGGATGTTCTCTGTGGTATAACTTGTAATTGTGAAAATAGCATAAATGTCCAATAGAGAAATTATAATTTATAAACTTAAATTGTAGTGTTGTCATATCATGAAATATTATGATGCCATTAAATATAATCTTTTTAATATTTGATGATTTGGGAAAATGGTAATAAAAAGAGGACAGCAAGAATTACTAATGACTTTTTTTTCTTCATGCTTTTCTCTGCTTTCCAAATTTTCTACAATGGACATTATTAAATTCATAATAAATGAGACTTTTTCATTTACAGAAATATGACTTTTACCTCTTATGTTTAAAAGGGTCTCAGACTAAATTAGAAAAATAATTTAAGAAGAAGGAAGAAATTAGTTTCTAGTGTTGATAAATGATTTTTAAATGTCCTTGAAGCAGTTTGTTTGTGGTATTGTCTGTGTTTTCTTTAGTGAGTTAATTTGAGTTAGGAGAGTAACAATAACTTTTCATGTTATATCTAAAATGTATTTTTATGGTAATATTTGCTGGGAACCATCTTTGAAAGAGTAAAGTGTTGTAGACACACCACATACTTTAGTTTTATACAAGTTATTCTAGGATTGTACAGAATGTGAAAAAAGACAGTCCTACTATTGAGTGAATTAAAAGTAAAGCCATAAACTTTTAGGAGTCATATTTTATACTTGGCAGCTTTAAACAGAACATATCTAATGCTAGATTAACTTAGACAACAACAAACTTAAAATAAAAATTGTATGTAAAAATTTGAGCATACAAAAGCTGCAAGCGCTAGAATTTATTTTGTCTAAGTCTACCATATTATTTTTGTGGAAAGTGAAGCAAATTGGTTCACTAGAGAATTAAGTGTTTAATAGATACTAAGTTTTGTACTAGACATTAGGAGACACAGATGATTAAAAGATGACCTTCCTCTAAGGAACTTAATATATTGTACAATGTAATTCATTATTGCAATGTAATTATAGCATGTAAACAAAATGGAAATGGGAAGAAGTTTGTGAAAATCAGTTTTGCCTGAGTTTGAGGGAGGTCTTGTTAGGCATTCCAACTAACCTTGTCCTTCTGAAAGTTTTGGAGATAGATCTTGATCCTGAGAGGAGAAAATAATACAGAAACAAATTTACAGAGGATTTGTGATGATATAACCATAAATGAGAGGTGCCATAACATAGAGGGTAAGAGTACACGCTGCGGAGCCAAATGAACAGCATTCCATTTCTGGCCTTCTCACTTAACTGGTGG